AGGCAGATCATAATTGCTCACTTTAGCATATGCAAACCAAATTACAAATAGTCTTCGAAATTTTACATTCCACCCTAGCCTTGTAATCAAACCTTGTTTAGAAACGTTTTGATGCCACATCTTCACCAAAGGAATCAAACCCAAATGCAAACTTGGCCATATGTTTAGAAACCATTAAAGATAGGGAGGTAAAGTGTTGTAGGGTGTTGAGAATACACTAAGTAGGGATTTGGCAAATTTTCATTCACAGTATTTCTGATATAAAAGGTCCATTTTGTTAATTATCAAACTCACAAAGTTGGGGCAAAATATCACTGGATTTGCTATCAGAGGAAGTGATGGGGTTACGTGGCAAACTCTTGGCAGGGAAACATCTCGTTCAAAATAGAATCTTCCATGAGCCTAACTGATGCATGATATATGACACAAACAAAATTCAAAAACTAAAATTCATAATAAAGCTTTATTTCCACTATTAAAAAGGGCAAGTTTTACCATGGCAGCAGCAATGAAAAGAGAAGAAAAGTAAAGAAATATAGGGAAGCTCTACTAAAACTTAATATTTAAAGAGGAGAAAGGAAAAAAGGTAACTAATCTGGGAATATTTAAATCACTTAATACATGTTATATTTTTATAGAAGCACCTTCAAGATATACCTCAGAAAGTTTGGGATGATACATCAACACATCTGGGATAAATGAAATAGAAGACATGTTATACATAGATCTTTGAAGTAATAAGAATATGGCAACTTTCCATAAAAACAAAGATGTATTTTCTCATTTGGCTATACAAAATATAAAAATTCAAGTGACCCAGGTTCCAGTCCCAGTTCTGCCAAATTCCTGTCCAACAGCATGCAAAATGAGTAACATCTCTATAATTCTACTGTTTCTGTATTAAGATGAATGAACAGCTCACTGGGCTACTTGGAAAAAAATGGCCCAAGTGAATGAAAAGTCACTTATTTGTGCAAAAATGCCAAAAAAAAAAAAAAAACAAAACCTAAAAAGCTGTGTTTTGTAATAAACACTAAAATTACAGGTTTTGCCTGTCTTCAGGCAAACCCTTATTGTTGTATCCATAACTCACTAGTAAACCAAACATTTACTGAGCAGTTAAGTGTAAATTCATGCTAAGTTTGGGGATAATAGGATGTATTAGTCATTCTTTTTTTACAGACTTCCAACGTCATGATCAAAATTACAAATACTAAGTTTTCAAAGCTGTGGGAAGAGTTCAAAGTTAACTATTATTAAATTTAAGCATAGGTTACTACTAATTATGAAACAGACTTCTTCCTTTGAAAAAGTGTCTATGTCTACGGCCATGCCACCCTGAACGTGCCTGATCTCAGAAGCTAAGCAGGGTTGGGCCTGGTTAGTGCATGGATGGGAGATCACCTAGGAATACCAGGTGCTGTAGGTGTTTTAAAAAAAAAAAAACAGTGAAAAGGTGTCTATGTATTGTTGTTATAAATCAGTACCTATGTATTCCTCTCATGCTACACAAAATTATTTGTACTATTTGGAAAGACAATTTTCTAATAACTAAGTTAATGTCTCTTGGCCAGTTCAGTTTCTCTTGACTCATACTGGCACTGACTCTCTCTTCCGGGCAGTCCCTTTTAAACAGTTTACTCTGTGAGTGTCAATAAAACTTTTTACTTTTTCTTTTCAAGGTATTAAAAGTGCTTAAAGGAAGCCTGATGGCTCTTTTTAGCCTGCAATTTAAGTTCAATGGCAAGGTAGGAAATCAGCATTAGGATAGAAAGAAAGAATGAGTCTAAACAATGTGTACATATCAACTAATTCTGTGATAGTGATTGTTCACTGATGTGTTATAGGAAAGTCTGTTTAGATCTGCTACAACTTCTTGGGTCTTTAACTCATTGTAGAATGACACACACAAAACAGAGCAATCCAAAAAAAAATCCCTGGATTTAGAGTCTGTGCTCTATCACTGCTATCCCCAAGTAAAGTCATTGAAATTCTTTCACAACAGCTTCCTCGTCTATAAAATGGGGTTAAGAATTCCTTCCTCAAAGGGATGTTAGGAGAATGAGAAGAGAAAATATATTTGAAAATGCTGTCAATCATAAAATCATGCAAAAGTCTTTATAGAAATGTGAGAATTTCAAATGTGATAACATGAAAAAGGCCAAAGAGCCTGACACATGAACACTTAATAATGGTTAAACCCTACCTTTCTGTCTATAATTTGTAGTTAGAAAATGGTTAAACATAAACCAATGTCTGTCTTGATTCTATGGCTGAGATCTGAATCACTAAGGCTTCTGGGGGATAATGTCTTAAAACAATCTTCCATTCATAAAACTTTTAATCAATGTTCTTTTTTATATATATATATTTTTCTGAAGTTCTTATGAATTGGAAAATCCTTTCTTTTCTGAGGATGGTGACAGAAAGAAAAAAATAAACTTTCTTAAGGTAATGCTTTTATGAGGAGTTGAAAGTAGCAGTTCAGCATTTGAGATTCTGATAAGACTTCAAAATTTTACCCTACTAAATTAAAAGATTTGTTCTATACAACATTTAATGCCCAATTTTGTGTGGCTCTGAGAATAATGTTAAAAAGTTCAAAAGCTCTCCAGTGACTAAAAACTAAAGCAGCAAGACTGAAATGACATGACCTGTGAACTACCCTGGTTTCTAAAAAGTGCCAGAGTTCACAGAACATATACAAAATAAACTAAGCAATCCTTAAATTGGATTTAGCCTTGGACAAAATAACAGAAAAATTCACTCACAAGCTAATAGTATCCAATGCACAGATGTCATCAATTTTGTAAAAATCAGGAACTGGTTTCACAAGAGTAAAAAAGTAAAAAAGAGTAAAAACATTAATTATATCTTCCATAAAGAATACTACGGAAATAATATTCTAAACCTCATAATTAGATATGAAAAATAAGACAGTAAAACTCCATTTATAAAGTGCGTTAATGTACCAAAAATGGCGGTCAGGTGTCCTTATTTACAAATGTTTTTTTGTCACATTTACAGAAAGGCAAATATTACACTGGAGAGGCAGCATAGGAAAGTAGGAAGAACTCTTGACCTGGAGTCAGAAGACCTGGATTCTAGTCTTGGCTTTGCTGCTACTGATCTCTGTGACCTTGAGTAAATGACAGTTTTTAGGGGGCCTCGATTTTCTCATCTGTAATAAATGAGAGGTAGAACAAGACTGCTTCGAAGGACAGTCCCCTTACATGTAAAATTCTATGTTAAGCAATGGAATATTTTTGTTCATAAATCCCAGCATTATAGAAGAGGATGCTACCATATTAATAATCTATAAATTTGATTATAGTAGGTAAAAACATTAGAGAACTCTGACCAACTGCATTTGTAGTCAATGATTTGGCTGCTTCACAAAGTGCACAAAAATCACAGTATTCTGGTTCCTGGCATATATGTGCAGGCTTTGAAGAATGCTGAAGCATTCGCTACGAGGGAAATAATGCCAGCAGGGTATCACTTCCTGATACGCCTCTGCAGGAAATGGGGACGATGGCGCGGAGAACACTGAGCCACAGATGAACGAGATGCTGTCCTTCACAAAGGCGCACAGGAGTCAGCAAAATAAGGGAGCTGTACCTAGGTTAAGCCCTTAAACTTGATTAATAGAATAGATTTAGAAACAGACAACTAGTATAGGTATGTTTCTGCTTGGGGAAGCTTACTTGGTAGATAAACCTTCCCTGAGCAATACAAATTTGTTCACCAGAGAATATTTTGGCTTTGAAGATATTAGCAAAGTCATATTCAGATATTCAGAGATTTCCCCCAAAGGTGAGCCCAACAATAGAGACATTCTAAATTTATAACACTAATCAAAGTAGTATTTCTCAAGTGAAATTATCTACTTTAGCAATACATCTGTGCCAAGAACACACTGATAAGACAAAGTAATTCCTAAGGGTGAAAAGAAAAAGTTGCTTTTTCTCACTAATTTTTTACTGCTGCACACACAGGTTTAAAGACATTTAATTAAAGCATAAATGTTACTGCCAACCTGCCAAACGGTATGAGCTGGCAATCTCTGGTAGCAGGTGCAAAATTAGAGTTTCATATCACTCTAATAAGCCTTACATTCGATCCCTTATCAGAGAAAAAAAAAATCCTCATGCACTTGTGTATTGAGAGTATAGTTAAAGTGATGCATATTTTGACAAAAACTTCCCTTGGAATGGAGGGCTCAGCGAAAGCCAGAATTGAAACTTCAAAACACACTGGTAAATTTTACAGGCCAGTGCAAATATGATCTCCATATGTGAAATAGCAATACAATTACACGTAATCAGTTTTTAAAGGCACACATCCCAAATCTCTCTGCTTTCATCCAGATCTGTCATTTTCCATAACATGCCTAAACCCAGTGAAGTGCCCTGGCTTTGATTAGGCAGTAAACGCAAACTTCCAAATTCTTCTCACACTTACAGCGAAGACACAGTACCATTAAAAGGGCATTTCCTTTCATACTTCCCCTCCTAAAACATTTCGATAATTGTTTCGGTTACACACATTCTACTGCAGGAATTCTTAGCTTTAGAACTGCCTGGCAGTAGGTAAAAGTATTTTAAAAATACTACTTAATCTACAAAAAAGGAGACTATCAAAAAAGGACATATCGAGGCAATCTGTAGGAGTTAAGAAAAGTATGAAGAAAGGAGTCTAGTTTTCCTAATACAGTATAGTTCGTAAATTGTGGGTCAGAAAAGATACTCTAAAACTTAGACAAAGTCAATAGCAATTTCTGCCACATCAGTGAAAAAGTGCTTATTATCTATCTACATGCTAAACAATTATTTCCATTCTGCAGAGTTTTATTCCTTCCCAACAATTTCAATTTTTTTAAGTTAAAAGGGAATGAATCTACATTGTGATAAAATGAAGTACAGTGAGAAAATGTCTATCCAGATCAATATTTCCTCAGAAAACATAATATTTATTTAAGTAGACTGTTCAAGCACTTGTCATCTCAAATTGTAATTTTATTTTTCAAATACGCAAGAACCTAGAAATCAACATTTTCTAACCTCTGAGATACCTGCGTTAGGAAGAGTTATATATTACCACATTTGATCCATACCTTCAACAGTTCAAATTCAATAAATGCTGCTTTGAGATTCAAAAAAGTAATCGTATTTGTGCAACACGTGCACAAGAAAACAGATTATATGACTTGGCATTTGAAGAATGAAAAAGCAAAATGACGTTGTCACAACCATATCTGTCTTCATTCTATATTGCCTCTTCTTTTCACTAATAAAATCCACAAAAATTGCAAGGACAGATTAGGAAAGTTTATCATAGACACAGTAGCTTTTATAAAAATTTGGAATTTAGTAAATGTTTTAAAGAAGTGAAAATGACTGTCTATGTAACAGATGCATTTGCAAAGTCTTAAAAATACAGTCCACAAAATAATTTAGTGTGATAATTGGATTTGATTTAAAAAGCAAAAAACGCCTTTTATTTTTTGATGAGATAAAATAATAAAAGGAAATTTTTCATATATCTAAACCTATGCTGGAAGTACACAAAAAGACAATCTGTATACATTCCTAACAAGAGTCTTATTTTGTACAGATCACAGAATATCCATTTAAAAAAACACACATACACATGACCTTCGATGGTAAATTTCCATGTTGGCAAATGTTTTCTGAGACGAAGGCACTTTGAAAACCCAATATGGTTTGGTTCATAAGTTTGCAAGGTACAAACAATTTTACGAACATATGATTATGCTGAAGAATGTCAACAATTGTGACATTACATATAAAACATTTCCATTTCTTTCTTTCGTTCTTTCTTTTTTTTTAATAACACTGGTTTGTGGGAATGAAAGCAGTGGTTTCCAACAGCTTCAGTGAAAACACTTCAGATGATCGGAGGCCCACAATCTGAATTTCTTTCTGGCTAGGGATGAGAGGTGGGCATGCGGACATTTGAAATGGAAAAATAAGAAAAGAAAAGAAAACAAACAAAAAAAGCAACACCCTGGAACAAAACTAGAAACCTCAGAAATTAAAATGGTTTGGAGGAAAGAGCACAAAAGACCAAAGTCCAGAACAGATCATCTTAATTCTGGTCCCTTAGCTATGAACTCCCGGCAGAGTGCACACAGCTACCTGGTCTACTTTGTGCGGGGGAGCTGTAGTGATGATTTCTCTGTTTCAAAAAGCCAGGTACAATGTTTTGGATTGTACAGTACCAGAAAAGTCGGTCCCCCAAAAAGTATAATTTCTTTTCATTCATTACATGGCCGCAGAGTCAATCTGTACATAAAGCTGTCTCACTCCAGCCTGAAAAGTTTAAAAAAACGAAATCAGAAAATCGAACAAGCCAATGACAAACTACAGAGTTCAGAAAAGTAGTGAAAAAACAAATCTCATGTTCTTTGAAAATGGAAATAGTTATTATTCCCTTCTGCCTCTGGGAAATAATTATCTATTTTTTATCAAAAAGTACCAGTAATTTTATTTTAGAGATAAGTAGATTCATAAATTACAGAAAAGTTCTACATTTACCTCTACAAAGAAAAGCCTTGCTTATCCAAGTGAATTCTGGAAAAGTGAGGTTACTCATCTACCATTACTATGCTAGAGAACAACACAGTACTTGACTAGTCGGCTACTAAATTCATCAGTCGATCTAGTCTAAATCTTCCCATGATAAATGATTAGGAACTCCTTAAACAAGTGTATCTATCTATTGGTTATTTAATTTCTTTATACTCCCAACTCCTCTGCAATTTTAGTTATAAACTTGCTCCTCAAGGTTGCTGTTCTTAAAACTGCCTCTCCTATATTATCAATTTTTCTATATTTAGACAGACGTGATCACTTCCTCTGTAGGAAACACTCCCTCCCCCAACCCCCCCACTCCCATCTTGCTTTCAGAGAATGCTTCCAGTGAGCATTCTTTCTCAATCTCCTCTGCAGGTTTTTCCTCCTATCTTTGAATATTACACCCAAAGGCTGAGTCCTAAGATCTTTTCTTTTTCTACACATGTTCCCTAGCCTAGATGGCTTCATCTAGTATCCAAACTTTCAGGACCACTTATATGCTCACACCGCCCACATCTGTATTCCAGACTGGAACCTAGCTACGCTCTACTGGACAATTCCTACTGGATATCTGACAAGCATCACAACACAGCCAAATTGAATACTATTTCCTCCCCTCAAACCGGTAGATCCCGTATCTTCTACAGCTCAATTCCATCCTTAACGTTGCAACTAAAGATCTTTCTTTCTCTCACACCCAACCCATTTAGCAAAACTTGTTTGCCTTACTTCAAAATAACGCAAATCCAGAACCTGACCTGTTTACATCACCCCCTTGCTACCACGCTTGCCTAGATTTTGCAGTGGCATCTGATCTAGTTTTCACGCTTCTACCTTTGCCCTCCTTTGGTCTATTTCCAGTAGTAACTACATCGATGTCACTCCATCATTCAAACCCTCTAACAGCTTATCTTCCTTAGTCCTTACAAGCCAAGAGTCCAGAGGATGGCATACAACGCCCTTCCGTGATCATCACAGTCCCTGGTTACCTCTCTGATCTCATCTGACTCCTCTCCCTTTGTTTACTCTGCTGCAGCCACACTAGGCCCTTCTGCCTGGAACAATGTTCCTCGAAATAGGCACATGACATACTGCCTCTCTCGTCACACATCTCTATTTAGATGTCAGAAGGATCTATCCTAACCACCCTATATAAAATGCATTCAATTCACTCATCCAACAATTGTTTTCTGTGCATCTACTGTATTCCAGGCACTGTTCTGTCCTCTGGGAATACAACAGTGAACAAAATAGATAAAAAATATCCTTGCCTTCACAGAGTTTATATGCTACTGGCAGCTAGGAAGAAGGGGAGATGATAAACAAGCAAGTAAATAAAGTATGTCAGATGATGCTATATAGGCTATGGAAAAACACAAATCTTGTTAGAAGAAGAGATGGTA